ATCGCAAGAGTATTATTCCAATTCGAATTCTTATTTTTTCTTGATTCTTCGACCCTTCTTTTCTTATAAATAGAGGTCATATTTCCCCTTTTTCATTCATCAACAAACTTGATCATCAAATAATTCTCTTCTCCCTCTTTAGCCTAAACACTAGCCTCCCTATTATTCCATAATACTTCCCCTAAACACTTCAAGGAGTCCATACAATACCCAAAGTTCTATACTTAAACAAAGGCGTGAAAGGTATAATTAACTTAGGGTTTAGACCAAATCAAATCTAATTTTTTATATGGTAAAATCTAAGGAATAACAACAGAAATGAGTTCAAGATTTCTTATATGGTAAAATCCATTGTTTTTATTGAAGAATCCATTATCAAAAAAGGGAATAACCGAGCAGCCCAGCTGTGGACGCGGGTATGACAGTCGCGGGCGCGGGCTCAGCTGCACCAAATTAGGCAGTAAGTCACCGCTGTCTGGCCGCGGGCTCACCGGGGGCGCGGCCATTGTTCCCTGTTTCACGCAACTTCCCTTGTTCCCGCAACATAAATCAGTCCCTGCTCCACCAATTTCAATGGTTAGTTATTTGAGAGGTTGAAGATTCAAGATGACAATTGTATTGAAGATCTCCATTATCAATCAATGAAGCTTTCTCACTCTCTCTCCTCTTTATTGCTTTATTTAATTTCATGTTTGTTTGAATTGATTTTGATGTTTGATGCTTGATTAGTGTAGTTGTTCTCCATATTTTGTGAATTCTTGATTTCTTTAGTTGATTGTTGATAGATGATGATATTTGAGTAGTTGTTGGCTAGGAATTGGGTGAAACTTGTATGATTGATTAATTGTGATTAATTTGGGAATTGTGTTGATTAATAGTTGAGATTAAAGTGATTAATGAAGGTTTGCATGTGTGTAATTCAATTCGGCCTTGAGAATTATGCTAGATTGCATTTTAATTGCTAATGACAAGAATAATTGATTTAGGAACTGCAATTATCGCTTGGCTTTGATTGTGATTCTCTTAGTTTGTTATTCATAATGAACCATAGCTTAACAATTAGGAGATAGCTCTTTAATTCCAATTGATTGCTCTTATCATTAGTCTTCACAACCTTTGATTGACTTGATCTTTCCAAGTTGTTGCAATCGACATGATTACTTGTTGATCCCCGTTCCTAGTGTTTTATTTCCATGGTTACTTATTTTGTTAGTGACAGGGTAAAGTCGTATCCCCTAATCAAAAGTAATTCCTAAATCCTCTAACTAATGTAGATAGGGAAGTAGGGTCGAATCCACAAAGAAACGAGTCTTTCTATTCCTAATTAATTAATATAATCTAGATTATGAAGTAACCAAAATATAATGATCGAAGGAAACTAAACTACGAAGAGTAAAAGTGGGAAAGAATAAAAGTAGGAGGAAAAAAACAATGAATAAAAGGCCTAGGGCATAGGTTCACCAATAAATAATATTCCAGGCCAAAACATAATAATCAATCATCAATGCATACATTAATCAGATCATAAAGGGCTTTCGCTACGTATTACAATCACACAATTAATTTACCGGTATTAAATCTCATCTCTCGAATCTCGATTTAACCATTTATAAATTAACCTGCCTATTGAAACTAGACCTGAACATTAATTCTCATATGTTGAATCTCGAGTCAATATTGTCAAACTCATGCATAAAAGATCTGCGCAAATCTAGTCACAGAGCATTAAATCAATCAATAGGAAATTAATCTAGCATTGATAATCAACAACAATAAATTACCCCTTCATATTATTTATGGATCCTCACAAACCTTAGAAATAAAACCACTCACACATAATAAAAACTAAACTAATCAAGGCAATAAAACAAGACATGATCAAAAGAATAAAATAAAGTAAATAACTAAGATTAAGAGAAGAGAAATCGTTACCAAAGAAATATGGAATTAAGAATAAAGTTAAGAACAAAGTATAAGAGAGAGAAAACTAATCTAAAAGCTAAGTAGAGAGAGAAAATCTAAAAAATAATTAAGAAAGAGTAAAAGATGATCCTAAACTCGTTTTACGGAAAAGTATTTATACTCAGTAAGAATCCTAAACTAAAATAAACTTAAACGACGCCAATCGTCTCCTAACAATGACACGCACCCGATCGGGCGAGGCACCGCCCGATCGGGCGCGCCTTTTTCCTCTCAAGTATGAATCTCACGCCAAGTCGGGCGCGAGTTCGGGCGCCAGCCTTTGCTTCCCTCGCCCAACCGGGCGCGCCTCTGGGCGCCAACCTCTTTAGCCGGGCGGTTCTCTTGGGCCACTATTTGGACTTCGATTGGGCTTCAATTTTTCGGGCCAATCTGGATTTCCTCTTTGGGCCTTGAATACTTGGTCCAAATGCCCCGTTATCACATATACCTAGCCCTTAATCACTTGTTCGATGGCTCTAACCGGCCCTGGGCTATAGAAACCGATCGTGCTTCTCCAATGCTCGTAATTGCTCCATAATATCTCGGGAAAATGCTCCAAAAGTGCAAATCCCTGCAAAAGTCAACCAAATCTACGAAAACACTAGAAAACACCAATTAGAAATAAAAGTGGCTCTGAAGAGACAAAAACACTACTAAATATGACCAAGGGACGGGGGTAAAATAATATATAAAATAGACACACCAAACTCACCCAAGCCAAACCTTTGCTTGTCCCTAAGCAAAGATCTTATCAATGAATAAATAAATACGCTTCACCCCAAAAAATAAAAATCAAGCACAAACAATTCAGGGTAAATCAAATAAACATGCCTCAAAATCAACCAATCAAATTGATAAGCCGTCTTATCAAGGGTTGAGAGAAGAGTTTTAGGGTGTGTTTTGATGTTGTGCATGAGTTTTTAATAGCTTTTGTGAGTTTCGGGCAGTGATCTCACTTGTGTGCAAAAGCCGGGATTTATAGGTGTTAGTGAGTGAGTTCGGGAACTAATGAGGAGGATTATAGAGTATGGACCTTAGCTCGTGATTTGAGAAGCGTGATGGAGCTTGGAAGAGCAAGGGATAAAGCTTGAGTAAAGGTGAAGCAAAGCTAGAAGAAAGAGCAAAGAAGACAGCAGAAGACAGCAAAACCGCTGCCAGGGCCGCTGGCAGCTGGCCAGAGCCGCTGACAGCGGGTCAGCCAGAGAGGACGAAGTGTTTTGCTGCTTTAGCCGCTGCCAGCGGGTCCCGAGCAGCTGGCAGCGGGTCTTCCAGATTTCGGGGCCTGTTTTGGTTATTTTTTAGCAGTTTGCTTTGTCTTGGCTCGTGTTTTGTATTTATTTATTATTTTTATTATTGTTTTATACTATTTAAGTATGGAAACATATATATAGTCTTTTTTTATGAAGAGTAAAAGGAGATTAATTAGGAGAATTAAGGGAGAGAGAAGTAAAAGTTTTCTAGGGTTCTTGGCAAATTTCAGAAATCTTTGTTTTTGAATTAGAATCCATGGAAGCTTAATCTTCCGGATTCTTGGTTAAAGATTGAAGCTTTTGGCTACGAATTGTGAGATTTCTCTTCTCTTTATTATCTATTGAATGTTTATTATTCCTTTGAATTATTTCATGATTTGCTTTAATCAATTGCTAGGTTAGAATTGTTAGATTCGCTTGCATCTAATTAATCTTTCCAAAGTAGCAACTTTGGGTTATGAATGCATGCTTTTGATTGATAACTTAAAGAGGGAATAATATTATTGAAGAAATTATACCGCTTGTGTTAATTTATTCAATCCTTGTTGATTTCTCCGTTTATGTTCTTCTTGTGGATGATTTAGAGCGCTTGTCTTAAATTATACATTAGAAAGGGTTAGAAAGGAGCGCTTTGCTATTTCTAACTAGCTTATGAGAATTTAGAATTTAGAATTCTACAACAAGGTGTTCAATAGTGTTTGATTGAAGAGGCTTCTATGATCAATTTGTATGTTCAATTGTGGATTTCGCATAACCAAGACCGTTATTCTCATTGATCGCATACTATTTACGTTCATTGTTCTGATTTAGTTTAATTGTCACCATTGCTTGTCAAAACCCCCTTGTTACTTAGATTACTACGTTCCTAGAGTAATTCCACTTAGGTTTGCAGTTATTAGTCCCTTTTTCCCTGTGGATTCGAACTCGACTCCCCTAACTACGTTTATTTGCAGTTAGCTTAGTTGTGATATTTTTGGTTGCATACGACTGAGGCACACCAAATTTTGGCGCCGTTGCCGGGGAACTAAGGCATTACTTTTTAATTGTTTATCTTAGTAGAATTTATTTTAGGACTGTTCTTAGCTATCTTTCTTTGTTTGTTCGCTAGGTATGATAAGTACCCCTTCTGCTAACAAAGAAGTTTTGCAGTTTGATCCAGAAATTGAAAGGAATATTTCCAGGTTGCGAAAAGAGGCAAGAACAACCCCCAGTGAATCAACGTACTCCTTCAATATTCAAGAAGAAGAGGAGATGGCTGACAATCGAACTCTAAGGGAACTCACAGCTCCCAACTTGAACCAACAACCGTTGTGCATTGCATACCAGCAGTTGGAGGAAGGTACTAATGTTGAGATCAAATCCGGTCTAATTCATCTATTGCCGGCATTCCATGGCATGAAAGGCGAAGATCCGAATAAACATCTGGCAGAATTTCATGTGGTTTGCACTAGCATGAAACCGATTGGGATGACTGATGAACAAATTCAGTTGAGAGCATTTCCTTTTTCTCTCAAAGATGCAGCAAAGGATTGGTTTTACTATCTTCCCCCAGGTAGCATAACAACTTGGGCAGATTTGAAGAAGTGTTTCCTTGAGAAGTACTACCCAGCCACTATTTCTACGAGCCTTAAGAAAGCTATCAGCAATGTGGATCAGAAGGAAGATGAATCCTTGTATGAGTATTGGGAGAGATTTAAGAGATTGTGTGCTAGTTGTCCTTACCATGGGTATTCCGATCAAGACCTCATCCTATACTTCTATGGAGGTCTAACTGATGATGACTTGAGGATGGTGAATGCAGCAAGTGGAGGAGGGCTAGTGAATAAGACTCCAGGAGATGCAACTAGGCTGATTGCAGAGCTAGCAGAAAATTCTAGGCAATTCAGTCAGAGAACTCCCACGCGCCGGGTGAATGCAACAAATTCAAATACGTCTGAGTTAGGAAGTCAAGTAGCTGATTTGACTTCTATGATGCGTGAGTTCATGGTGAACTCAAGGAATCCGCAGCAACTGAATGCTTGTGGTATATGCACCTCCATGGGACATCCCACTGATGCATGTCCTCAATTACAAGAGGAGCAGAATGAGCAAGCAAATGCAATGGGTTTCCAAGGGCAAGGTCCTCAGAGAAGATATGATCCCTATTCAAATACATACAATCTAGGATGGAGGGATCATCCAAATTTGAGATATGGGAACTCCCAAGGGAACCAACAACAACAAAATGCTCAAGGCCAGCAACAGTATCAGCAATATAGGGCACCATTACCCAAACCTCAAGGCCAAAGCTCAAATTCGAATAATATGTCAACTGAAGAAATGATTAGATCACTAACTTCTAATGTTTCTACTATGCAGCAAAACATGGTGCAATTCCAGCAAGAAACCAAATCCAGTATTCAGAATTTGGAAAGTCAAGTGAGCCAAATTTCAAGTGCAGTGAGCAGACTTGAAGCTAAAGATTCAGGAAAACTTCCATCTCAAACGGAGTTGAATCCTAAGCAACAAGCCAACGCTATTACATTGAGGAGTGGCAAGGAGCTGAAAGAGACTGCAGTTGCAACTAAGAGGGCTAAAGACTTGATTGGAACTGAAGAGCAAGAAGTAGAACATGAAGCTGTGGCGAATCCACCAACTTTTCCCTCTTATGAACCCACACCACCTTTCCCTGAAGCCTTGCAAGATACTCGAAGGTATGAGAAAGACAAGGATATTTATGAGACTTTTAGCAAATGTGAGGTAAATATTCCCCTCTTGAATGTGATTAAAAGTATTCCTCGTTTTGCTAAGTTTATGAAAGAACTGTGTACTATCAAGAGAAAGCATAGGTTGGGAGGAAAAGAGAAGGTAAAGGTGAGTGCTCATGTTTCTGCGGTTTTCCAAAAGAAAATCCCAGAAAAATGTGGTGATCCTGGTATGTTTATTGTTCCTGTTACAATAGGAGACACCACATTGCACCGAGCTATGTTGGACCTAGGTGCATCAATCAATGTCATTCCCTACTCCCTGTTTAAATCTTTAAAACTTGGACCTTTACATGGAACTGGGGTAGTGATTCAGTTAGCGGATAGGTCTAATGTGTATCCTAAGGGGGTGGTGGAAGATGTGTTGGTTAAGGTTGATGGTTTGATTTTTCCTGCTGACTTTTATGTGCTTGACATGGAACATGACAAACAAGCAATCCCCATCTTGTTAGGAAGACCTTTCTTGAAGACTGCTAAAACAAAAATCGATGTGTCTACCGGTTCCTTGACTATGGAGGTTGATGGGAAAGCAATTGGGTATAACATTTATGATTCCATAAAGTATCCTGTCAACACTCATTCTTTATGTTCTCTTAATGTTGTCGATCCAATGGTGCATGATGTTCCTAACAATGATCGTGGGGATGAGTTCCTCACACCTATAACTAATGTTGTATCTGGTGATTGCTTGGATTTCTCTATGCCTACTAATGTGCAGGTGAAGGTGGGGGAATTGAATGAACATTCCAAGCTTCCACCTATACCACCAGGTTCAACAATCGGCCCGTCTGCAATTCCGGGCAAGAAATTGTCCCATTTATACCACAAAGCAAAGAATAGGTTGTGGCATGACAAGATGATTGCTAGGAAGAAGGTTAAAGTCGGTGAAAAAGTCCTCCTATAAAAATCCCGACTCAAATTATGTCCTGATAAACTCCGCTCCCATTGGGAGAGTCCATTTCAAGTGGTGAAAGTCTACCCGCATGGAGCGGTAGAAATTCAGAGCCTAGAGACCGACAATGTCTTCAAGGTCAATGGACAAAGGCTCAAGCCCTACTTCGATGGTTTCAAATCCGAGAACATAGAGTGCATTGACCTCTATGAGCCTTCAACCGAGTAGCGAAGTGGGATGAGTTGCGTCGAGCCAACGACGTAAAACAAAGGCGCTAATCGGGAGGCAACCCGATCGAAAACTCTTCCCCATTACTTTTCGTAGTTTAGTTTTTATTTTTTCGTGTGATGTGAAGAGTGTTTTTATTGTTTTTGTGTAGGTGGAGGCCTTAGGAGCAATTTTTATGCGCGAAACGCAGCAAAAACAGAGCAAAACAGAGACAAGGGGGGCCTTCCCTGCAGAAGCCGCTGGCAGCTGCTCTGCAGCCGCTACCAGCGGGTCTTCTTGCAGCCCAAACCCCTTTGTTTCTGTCCCAGCCGCTGGTAGCTGCTCCTGAGCCGCTGCCAGCGGGACCCCCCCTCTACGTTTTTATTTTTTTTTTCAAAATAAAAAAAAAAAAAAGTTGGTTCAGCATCAGCCGCTGCCAGCTGCCCCTTACCCGCTGGCAGTGGGTCTTCCAGCCCAAAAATCTCCCAAAACCTGCCAGAGCCGCTGGCAGCGGGCCTCAAGCCGCTACCAGCGGCTCCACCAGCTTCCCCGAGTTTTTTTTTCCCCTTATTTCCCCTTTTCCAACTCCAACTTCATTATTTCTTCCCTCAACCCCAATTCACATAAACCCTTACTCCTTTTCTTCTCCTTCTCTCTACTCATTCATTCCCCTACTCCAATTATACCAAATTCCTACCAATTTCCCTTTCCCAAATCTTCATCTTTCATCAAATTCTCAATTCCCATCACAATTTCACCTAAGGTTTACCATTTTTCTTGATTTCAATTGTGAAATTGAGTTGGTTGTGTGGAATTGCAAGCTTAATTTATTTTCATTGAAGGTGAAGGTGAAGGTGCAAGTGAACATATTCCTTTTTATAGCCATGGGTAGAGACAACAAGAGGTCTAAAGCATCATCTCCATCAAGACCCCCAAGGGGCAAGAAGCAAGGTGCTTCTTCTAGTCAAGGTGAGGCACTTCCATTGCCTCGAGGGGATGGATTCATGGGTGTGCGGTTGAATTCCAAGGAGAAGGGGATATGGACTAAGCTTCAACAACCACGACGAACGGTGCAATGCACCAAGTTTTTTGACTTAGAAGCTTTGCAAGAGCTAGGCATGGAGGAAGTAGTGCGGCTCTTGCTGCGGAAAGTGGGTCTGGAGAATTTCATGACCAAATGCGCCCCCACCTATGTCAGGTATACCTATGAATTCCTTTCAACTCTTACTAAAGGACGTGATCAAATATCCTTTAATTTGAATAATAGGAATTATGTTGTGTCTTATGATGATATGCGAATGGCATTTGGTTGGGATGCACCCCCATTGGTGAACCATTGGGGTGATTATAGCACGTACTCGTCCCGAACATTTTGGAGGGCTATAACTGGTTGTGAAGTTGACCCTCATGGTGATCATAGCTTCAAGATCACTCACCCATGCCTTAGACTCGTTCATAGGTTTATTTCGTCCACCATACTATGTCAAGGAGAAGCTACTAAGGTTCCCAAGGCTACATTATCTTATTTGTGGGCGATGACCCCTGAGGGTGTCGGCACCCCCAATTGGGTCGATATTTTTGTAGATAGCTGTGTGAAAGTGCGGTCAAATTCAAGTGGCCACATTAGCATGGGTGGTATGGTCTCCCTGCTCGCTTGTTATTTAAATGTTCCACCCCCCGCAGATCTTGTGCCAGTAGATTCGACGTACCTAACTTATAACATCATGACTCTGGTCAAGATTGGTTTGTTATCGCGTTCCCCCGTCGTCGGTAGTTATTTCTGGCTATATGGGCCACAGGGCCTGAACTATTTGAGAATTCCTCGTCCCGAGGGACGAGCTTTGCCTTATGGCCCTGCCATCACAGACTTTTTCCTTGCGCCCGACCCGGATGTTGCCCCCTATTTGGGAGATGCCGAAGTAATAATTGAGAACATGGGAGAGGAGAATCCCGATGTTCATATGGGCGGAGAGTTTGTTGATGAGGATGGGGGTGAGGATGCTGCTGGAGTGCAGCATGATGATTGGCCTCACTGGAGGGCTGATGTAGATGATAGACTAGAGGAGGTGTGCGATGGGATGCAAGAGCTGCTTGCATATCAGAGAAGCATGAGTCGGTTTTATACCGCTCAATATCCACAGTATGAGCCCCCAACTGAGGCGTTCATGGATCACCTGGCATCCCGTGCTTTGCGTCGTTCCGAGAGGCGTGCTTCTCGGGGTGATGCCAGCTCTTCTGGCTCTGGAGGTCCCTCTCATTGAGATGGTAACGATTTTCTTCCTTTTCCCTTACTTTTGGTTTCATTGTAGTTGTTCTTGCATCGAGGACAATGCCTCATTTAAGTAGGGGGGAAGCTTTTCATTGCATATTTTTGAAATTTTGTATAGTTATCTTGATTCCATGATTTGTATAACTATCTTAATTGTGGTTCAATGAAAAAAAAAATGCAAAAAGAAAAAGAAAAAAGAAATAAAATTGAAAAAAAAAGAAAGAAAAAGAAACCCGCTAAGCCGAAAACCTGAAAAGGCGGCTTAGGCAAAAATGGGGGCCCGGTTAGGTTGAAAACCCGAAAGGGCGACCTAAGCAAAAAAGTGGCTAATGAGTGGGTGAGAAAGTGAGATTTGGAAAAAGATGAGAGGCTAGGATGAAAACCCGAAAGGGCTCCTAGGCAAAATGAGAGAAGAGAGAGAAAAATTCGTGAATTTGCGCATCTATTTGCCGGAGTCGGTGTCATAAGGGGAGGAGAAATATGGAGGTGTCGGGTAGGTCTCATCTTGATGTTTTCGGGAGATAGTTGAAGTTCGGGAGAAGTGTTGATCATGCTTAGAAAGCTAGAGTTATTTTTCTTGACTTTTGAGTGTGGAAGTGTTTTCTTTTGTGGACTTTTGGTTTAGTTGAGTCTTGTTTGCCCAATTTTATCAAAAGTTTCGTGTGGTAGGATAGTTGAGAATATCTATGCTCTTGGCTATGTGCTTGTTGTTCTAGGTTGGTTTTGGGGGATGAGTTGAATGTAAAAAAAAATGAAAAAGGGAGTTTGTAAAGTGAGAAGGCGGTTAGTTGGTGGTTGCTAGGATGTCTTCTTGAGTTTGAATGCGTAGAGCTTGTTCGGTTCCGCCATCTTCTGTTTTGAACCTTAATGGGGAGATGTGTTCTATTCTCTAAGTTTACTCGAGGGCGAGTAAAGGTTCAAGTATGGGGGAATTTGATAAGCCGTCTTATCAAGGGTTGAGAGAAGAGTTTTAGGGTGTGTTTTGATGTTGTGCATGAGTTTTTAATAGCTTTTGTGAGTTTCGGGCAGTGATCTCACTTGTGTGCAAAAGCCGGGATTTATAGGTGTTAGTGAGTGAGTTCGGGAACTAATGAGGAGGATTATAGAGTATGGACCTTAGCTCGTGATTTGAGAAGCGTGATGGAGCTTGGAAGAGCAAGGGAGAAAGCTTGAGTAAAGGTGAAGCAAAGCTAGAAGAAAGAGCAAAGAAGACAACAGAAGACAGCAGAACCGCTGCCAGGGCCGCTGGCAGCTGGCCAGAGCCGCTGGCAGCGGGTTAGCCAGAGAGGACGAAGTGTTTTGCTGCTTTAGCCGCTGCCAGCGGGTCCCGAGCAGCTGGCAGCGGGTCTTCCAGATTTCGGGGCCTGTTTTGGTTATTTTTCAGCAGTTTGCTTTGTCTTGGCTCGTGTTTTGTATTTATTTATTATTTTTATTATTGTTTTATATTATTTAAGTATGGAAACATATATATAGTCTTTTTTTATGAAGAGTAAAAGGAGATTAATTAGGAGAATTAAGGGAGAGAGAAGTAAAAGTTTTCTAGGGTTCTTGGCAAATTTCAGAAATCTTTGTTTTTGAATTAGAATCCATGGAAGCTTAATCTTCCGGATTCTTGGTTAAAGATTGAAGCTTTTGGCTACGAATTGTGAGATTTCTCTTCTCTTTATTATCTATTGAATGTTTATTATTCCTTTGAATTATTTCATGATTTGCTTTAATCAATTGCTAGGTTAGAATTGTTAGATTCGCTTGCATCTAATTAATCTTTCCAAAGTAGCAACTTTGGGTTATGAATGCACGCTTTTGATTGATAACTTAAAGAGGGAATAATATTATTGAAGAAATTAGACCGCTTGTGTTAATTTATTCAATCCTTGTTGATTTCTCCGTTTATGTTCTTCTTGTGGATGATTTAGAGCGCTTGTCTTAAATTATACATTAGAAAGGGTTAGAAAGGAGCGCTTTGCTATTTCTAACTAGCTTATGAGAATTTAGAATTTAGAATTCTACAACAAGGTGTTCAATAGTGTTTGATTGAAGAGGCTTCTATGATCAATTTGTATGTTCAATTGTGGATTTCGCATAACCAAGACCGTTATTCTCATTGATCGCATACTATTTACGTTCATTGTTTTGATTTAGTTTAATTGTCACCATTGCTTGTCAAAACCCCCTTGTTACTTAGATTACTACGTTCCTAGAGTAATTCCACTTAGGTTTGCAGTTATTAGTCCCTTCTTCCCTGTGGATTCGAACTCGACTCCCCTAACTACGTTTATTTGCAGTTAGCTTAGTTGTGATATTTTTGGTTGCATACGACTGAGGCACACCACAAATCCATCTAACTGCCCTTCTTCCCTAACAATTGTCAAATAGAGCAAACCACAAGAGCATATAGAATTCAAGCCTAGTGCTCACACACTCAACTCTCATTTATGTGGCGAGCAAAAGATGTACTCGATCTTTCTCCAACCAACCCCTTTATATGAACAATGCCCTCCAAACTTACAGTCTCGTGTGTATAAAAGGAGGTACGCTCAACCTACTAGTCGACTCGAAATATGTCAAATAATAACTTGCATTGATAAACAACACTTTCACGTTCATACAACTCTATGCACAAAGGTCGGAAGGTCTTTAAAGCTTGTAATGTAAGGCTAGGGTATAGGGTAGGAATCATTTGGGAACAAGTGATAGAAAAGCTATGCTTAAGGGAGCAAATCCTAGTAAAACCCATGATCAAAATAAATAATGATCAACATCTCCTACATAACCAACTCTAACAAAAATCCACCAAATACAACTCCAAACAATATAAATAATCCCAACTCTTACAATTTCACTCATAAGATATAATAATAAAGAACTGGAGTGAATAAACAAACTTTATTTTCGAAACTTAAATTTTTCATTGAAACTCAACTTCTAAATTTTTTTTCTTTCTTTTGATCAACCTCTAACTAGAACATTTGAACATTAAACAATTTTTTTTCTTTTGCTCTTTTTTTTCTATTGAAGTTCACCTATTTTTTCACTTTTTTTTTTCTTGAACTTCTCTTTTTTTTTCATAACATCATGCT